TGCTACTTCAACCTCCAAGCCGTGAACTATCTCCATGTGAACTCCATTCCGAATCTTGTCTTACCGAAAGGCAGGGCAAAATCACTGTGCGCACTTTTCAGTTTGTTTTTCCGCATGGGGTTGCGATGAGGCGTTGCCATCTCGTGCTAATCAAGAGCCCTGATGGAACGAGGCCAACGAGCGCGCGTTCTCCGCGCGGAGTGCCGCCAGAATCTTGTCGGTCTCAGCTTGCGCCGCCTTCAGCTCATCCATTTCACCCCGAAGCTTGGCGTACTCCTCAATGGAAACCTTGTCCTCGGGGTCGTCCAGCAGCTCCTTCTGCTTGTGGTTGGGAGTTGGAGAGCCAGAGCCAGAGCCAGGAGATAGCAGATCATCAGGTGCATCGGAGAGCTCAGAGCTGTCAGAGTCAAGCTCGTCGATGCCCTTGGTGCCGCAGTGGTAGTTGACGAAACCGGTGTCCTTCTTCTTCTTCCTGCCCTTGTCCTCGGAGGAGCCGTCACCGCCGTCTCTAGAGACGTTCTTGCTACTAGCACCCTCGCTGAACACGTCCTTGCTGAAAGCATCCTTGAAGACAACATCATCAGCTTGGGCACCATTCTTTCGAGCAGCTTGCACGGGGACAGCGACGACATGCTTCACGGGAAGTACATTCGAAAACGTAACGCCCATAGCAGCACCAGGGTACTGTTCGTCCGGCTGAGATGCCGAAGTCTCTGACTGAACAACGTAGGTGGGGGATGACGAGTTGTACTGGGTTGTGGTCTTGCGCTTCTTCTTCATCTTTCCGGGAGACATCTCGCCTTCAGAGTCAGTGGCCATGGCTGGGTGGTCACGCTGAATGACATTCATACCCGGTTGACTACGCTTCTGGCGCTTCTGAGCCGACTGTCGCGGTTGTAACATCATCTGGGACCCCGGAGTCACTCCAGGATCATCAGTGTCATCGTTGTCACCGGACGCGATCATCTCAGCCGCAGTACGCCTACCCCGAATCGGACGATTCTGGTGGTGCTGGTCGTTGTCACGGCCGACCTTGATCCACTGGCCGCGGTGCGCGTTCGAGACGCAGTTGACGATGGTGCTACTGTACAGCTTGTGGGGAGCGCCAATAGTAGTCCAGGTCTTCTCGTTCTTCATCAGAGTAACGCCAACCTGCTTGGAGGTCCTCAGCACCGCACAGATCCATTCTATACGCTGTCCGAAGGTCCAGTCCTTGGTCTGGCTGATGTTGTCGATGATGGACTTATCGTAGATGCGGACCTTGAAGCCGTTCAGGTGAATGTCCTTGGCCATGCCGACGATGTCCCAGGAGCACGCTTCAATAGCCCAGTCCTGGTAATAGACACCTTCACCCGGAGTTAGCCGCTTGCGGTAAGCGTTACCCTTGGTGTCCTTGGCGCGCGTCATATCCTTGAAAGCTAGCATCAACATTTTGACGAACTTACGATACTCTGCGTCGGTCTCGGGGATGGAGGAATCGACCTCTGGAGAATACCACTGAGGCTCGTCCATGGGCGCCCTAGCTTCTTCTAGGGTCTTGAAGCGGAAGCCATCGACCTCTGGATAGTCATCGTCCTTGTCCAGAAGCTGGGAAATCTTGGTCTTAAGGCGAGACGGATCCTTGAGACCGCCGGGGACCTTTTCCAGGCGCGTGTCCGCAAGGCGGGGAATGGGAGGACCGAAGGGAACGGGAGCACGAGCACCAACGGGAGTTGAGGGAGATGCAGTCTGGCTCTCAATCACCATTAGGTTCTTGTTGGCTATGCCCTTGGGGGTGTCCTTATCGGGGTCGTGGTTGGTCATATTGGGGTACTTGGGGCGGCGGCTGGGGTTTTGGTTTCAACGGTTACTGCTTGCAACTAAGACACCTGTTAGTGAACCCCAGCATCTATACTCCAGCTCTGGTGGAACTTACTGAAAAAACTGTTATTACTCTACACGGCGTGAGAGGTGAAACGCTTGCGTCCCCCGATCTTTATATGTGCAAGGCTGACTGCGCCGCTAGTGAAAAGATGCGTCCACGGGTATTGAAGTAGGTATGGCGTAATGTTTACCTAGGCGACGACGGAGTGAAGTAGGAAATTGAAGGTCGACTCTGACAAGCGCGGACGATTTGTAAGCCAAGAGGATATCAGGTGCGTTCTGTGAAAGAAGACAAAGGTCTGTTGTTATGATCGGTGCCTGTTGCTGGGGGGCCTGCGTGCGTATCGACAGCACAGGCGTGAGTAACGTGCGTCCAAGGGTCTTGGCATCCTCGCATTCACCTAGGACCTGAGCGTTTGCTACACCCACGACCCATTGCCCCGATCCACAAGACCTCGTAGCACTTGCTGCATGTCGATAGCGTGTGGTGTCGTGATGTCCGTCTTGCCTGGGATACTGCGCGAGGTCGGCGTCGTGCGATATGGCCTTGTCGCGTGCGATGTTGCCTGTGACCTATGTTAACACACTGACTACCTTACATAGAATGACTTCTTGTTGAACTGAAAGACATAAGAGCTAATGGCGTACCATAGGAACCTTATGAAGACCGGCGACAATACGGATGCGCGAGGCCGTCGCAGGCCCGTCAGCATGTGCGATTGCAGCTGGCAGCGACAGAGCGCGCAACCGACTACACACCGTTCGGTTGCAAGCAAAGCAACATCTTGTCAGACCTACGCGCGTTCTGTCCGGCTTTCTCATGGGGCGTTGTATGTCCTGCAAGTCCATATCATAAAGACGCGAACAGATCTTCGTCGACCAAGACTGGCAAGCAGCAATACACTTCATGCGACACAGTATCATGAGATAATGTAGTCCCTTCTCTTTCAGGTATCACCGGGGTCTTTCCAAGCAAGAGCGGTCCAGGCGGGATGCGTCATGTGACCTCCTTACCCTGCGGGAAGGTGGACATTTTTGATCAGGGACGAGACCGGGAAAAGATAAGGTGGAAGAGGGTACTCTCATTACACTTGAGTACAGTATTCTCGCGTTGGAATTCGCTCTTGCTTAGGAGATGTTCCTTCGGTGAGGTGCAGTCGTGGTTGCGCCACTTGAATGGCTAGAAGGCATCGGTAGCCGCACGACCACGACGTGGTATGCCATCGCGGTGTGTGGGGAAGAGTTGGATGCTAGTGGTTGTCAGTGTGAGTGCAAAAGGTTTCGAAGGCCAATGAGTTTGCATACCTAAACTGGCTGGTGCGCGGCAAGGAGGGAATGTTGCCTTGGCATGTTTGTCATGTTTGTCTAGGACGATGGCGGTCATCAGACTCGTCAAAAGGGCAGTGACGGTACCACGCTGTCAGCTGGGCCTGTGTTCCCGATGATCTCAATCGGAGAAGCGTTGGCAAGATCGCGTTCGGTGCAGCATTGTGAGGGTCGCGGTGGTGGTGGTGGGCGTCGGCGTAGCCCGTCGACTTTTATGGCAGCACAGCCATCGAAGCCAGCGTCGGGAAATGGTTGGATCGTTGTCACATGAGGACACAGTTCATTGCCACTCAAGTGGGTGAAAGTACCAATACAGAGAAGGTCCCGGCGGTGGCGAGATTGACGATGCTGTCGACGTTTGGTGGAAGCGGACGAAGTTGGACGTTGCGGAGAAGGAGGGAAGGAACGAGGGGCAGCAGGCTCGCCGTCGCTAGCGCGCATTGATCCCACCTCAAAATCAACGACAAACCTTCATGGACTTCGCCTGGTGCACGGCCGCTTCTTGCTTCTTGCGAGGACTGGTGCTGCACACTTCCGTAAGCTTTCATCGAGTACAGCCATGTCCAGGGGAATGCTCCTCGGACTGTCGCGATGCGCCACTCTCCGCGGCGAACGCGCGGCTGCAGCGACTGCAGGTTGATGGGCTCGCTCCGCGTCGCCATCACATTCAATCGCTCGACTTCTCCTTTTCAGATCTCATAATTGAAGACGCTGCCTTCGGCATGATTTCGAAGAAAGTTCTTGTCGCGAATATCAGCGAGCACGTGCCGTCAAAGACACAATACCGTCCGAGTCATAAGCTACCGAGCGGCTGATGGATGGACTTGCTTTCTTTGTCTTGAGCTCTCTGATCCGACTGAAAGTCCAATAGAGATCGGGTTTCTTGGTTGCTCCATTTGGCATGCCTTGGTTGAGGCAGCACGACACAGCAAACGTCTACCTGGAGGTTAGTTGAGTCGGTATTGTCGTCTCCCGCTTACTATTCCAGGCGAAGCGAGCATGCTCGGTTGAGCGGCGCAGCTGTCAGGGTTGATCTTGGAAGAGTCTTTGCGTTTGCTGGAATAGTTTGTCGAGTGCAACATCTGGGAGTGCTTTGTCGGTTGAGACAAACACCTGGGCGGTAGTAGTCAAGTAGTGACGTGGAATCCTCGAACACTTATGGGTAGGCTGTCTTTCCCGGTCCCGCAAGCAATCTCGCTTTCCTTGCTCTTTCACATCCCCTTGAGGACTGTCTTTCAAACCCCATTCACCAAGTTCGTACCATTTGGAATGGTACGGCGGAAAGGATGCAGCAGGACAAGCCTAGAAAGAGATATATACAGTCGACAGTAGGAGTCTTGCACTTACATTTCGCTATATTAGACAGCTTCGAGGGGCTCTGGCTTACTTATACTTGGTTTAGTTGAGTTTATATACTTGGCTAGCAAGAAACAGCGCGATGCCGCCAAAGTTGATACGTAGTATCGCTACTAGTTTTGCCGCCTGCATGAACACTTCGGTCGCCCTCACGCTTTGGGCTTGGCGCTGCAGTGATTTCCTCCTTAATCGCCCCTCCCCCGCCTTGGAGCGACCGCCGTGTGAACACGTGATTCACCCTTCGACCCACTCTATCCCAGTTGGGAGCCCTCTGCTCCGCGCCACAAACAAACTCCTAGCGCGTGGTACCCCCGTGAGAGTATTTCTGGGGCTCCATTTCGAACTCTCAAGGAAAGATTACCCCCCTCAACCACTTCGATTCACAACTGCAACCCACAAGATTCATTGTATACGACGACGACATCTCTACAATGAATTCCAGCGACCCCTCCGCTATGAACAACGACGGCTCAATCACCGAGGAAATCGACTACCATTTTTTTGCGAATTTCATGCAGGAGAACCCTACTTCATCGAGCTCTTCTATCGCGCCGGTAGCTTCAACACATCCTGGCTCCATCGAACAGGACGGCTTCAGGCAGAACGATCCCAGCGAGTTTTATCACGGCAACAACTGGCCAATCTACCCTTCTGAGAGCTCCGTAGACAACAGCAACTGGTCTAACTTCCAAGACAACATGTACACTTCTAGCGACAGCGTACCAGGACAGTCGGCCGCTGACTGGAACTTGCAAGGAGGTTACAGTCACCTAGAGGCTGGCCAACAGTATCAGCCAGAGAATAACGTAGCCTTCGGTAAGTCGATATGATATACACTCTGTCTCGCGCGCTCACACTGACTTCTTCTAGGCTCGCCCAGCAGCTTGGGAAACGACTTTACGTATCCCCCGACTGCTCCTAACCCAGTGCAAAACACTGGACATCCAGTCTTAGCGCATGATCGTACACCAACGCCCACCTCGATCAGTGGGTCGGCGAATGCGCCATTCGGGAATCAGATCTCAACGCCGACCCCGGCGTCATCGAGCGGCCGTCCGCTTTTCATACGTCGGGACCCAGCGCTGGGCCATAGGCAAGTGCAAGACCTTGGAATCCCTCGGAACTATTCATCATCGCCTGTTCATACATCACATACAAGCCGCTCATCCAGGATGCAAGGACCGCCGCCAGGCTATGCGCAGCCTCTGAGCACTGCATCATCGCCCTCTATCACGCCACCACCTCATCGTGGACCAGACTCTCGTCACGCACTCGCACATCTCGGAGGCCCTGTGCCAGAGCCGGGTCACGCGCCATTCACGCTCTACCCGTCAACAGCAGGCCACCCGTCATCAACGTTTCGTGGACCAATGACTCCACGCGGAGAAGTCGCCCGCCCGACCTCACGGTCGCAATATGCATCATGGTCCCCACAAGCACCAGGACCGCAACGTGCACCAGACTGGCAGTACGGACAGCTGCGACATCCACCAGGCCCACAACGATTACCAGGGCCGCAACATGTACCTGAATCACGCAGTAGATCAGCGCCATCACTCACATCCGCGACTCCTGATACATCGGCGGCGCACCACCCGCCTGTCACCAACCATCGCGCACCCGTCACGCACCCCACAGTAGCGACCGGTGACGCATCTGTTCCCCAGCAGTCCGAGAACAAGGACGCTGGAACTGGCGAGCAAGCTGCTGACGGCGCTGACGGCGCGGGCGCTGCTAAACCTAGTACACCCAAGCATATCCTTGACAAAGAGAAGCAAGCCCGGGCCGCGATCAGGAAGTTGAAGGAAAAATTCAGTATCGATGGGCAGATGGGCGAGTCTATCACCATGGTTCGTACCAACACTGGAGTTGAGTTCAGTGGTACGATGTGGAAGGCGCCTGCCAACGATACGAGCATTCCTACAACAGAAGTGGAGATCAAGGCATGCGTCGATGCTCTTGACACGGCAATGCACAACGTCGTAAACATCCGGGAGAAGGCCGATGTCAAGTCATCGAACAATCGGTGGAACTCTAAGTCCAAGTACTATTTCCCGGAAGAGTACAATGCAGCTGCTGGCCTGCTTGTGGTAAGTTTAAACCGAAGTGTATGCCTCTGCCATCACTAACGTAACATAGAAAGAGCTTATCAAAATCCACACCGACGGTTGGACCAAGCAGATCTTTGACTCGAACGAGCGTGAGCAATGTCAGCTTACCCAGTTCTACACGTTTGAAGATCGATTTGAAGGTCTTCGGGAACTGCTTCACGTAAGTACTTTGTCTTGATAATTACACAGCTTGATGCTAACCGTACACAGTACTCCAAGACGTCTTGTCAAGATATCATGAAGGGTTCCCGCTTCTATACCATCATCGCCAACCCGCGCAACCTGATCCATCGCACGGCGACCAACAAGACTGCCAACGTCAACAAAGGCAATCAGATCAAGGCAGGTAAGAAGGTGATGAAGCAAGAAAGCAGCACAACAACTTCTCCCGGCGGCGATGACAAAAACGACAAGGCAAAACAACAGGACAGCGAGGAGGGCTCCAACAGCGAAGAGTCCACAAAGGTCAAGAAGGCCTCGAGGGGCAAGAAGCGCGCTCGCGAAGAGACCTTCGTTGCGGAGGACCCGGCGGGCCAACCGCCTCGCAAGAAAGCGCCTGTGAAGAAGCGTAGCGGCGCATGATGGTTTGCTCCTTTGTCTTGCATATTACCGGCGCTTTATACCCAGGGTGGCGGAGTTAATTGCTTTCTGTTCTTCTTTTCAAAGCTCGGCGCAGTGTCAGCGATGACGTCGCAGCCCCGCTTACTTGTATTACATCTTCCGTTTCTTTCCTATGAGCTTGTCGTTTCCTTCAAACCAAAAGCGCGTTGCTACACACAGCGCCTTTTCAACTTATGTAGTGGGCCTGTGTCGCAAGCAGTAACCGTGTTACTGTCTTCAACTTCAATGCCAAAAGTCATACCCTTCTCCACCTATCTTACCGCCGATCTTTACAGCTTTGAGAAGACTCACTGTGTTTCATCTGCCCAGGCATTAGCTCCGATGCTTCCGTACTAGATTAATGAGGTGCAGGTAGCCGACGATAGATTAATCAATCTTACAAAAGTTCCCCAGTAACGCCGAGACTGACCGATGAATCTCAACGACAACGCCTTACTGTGGCGCAGTAGTTTTGTATGCCTCGCCCTGTGACTAGGCAGGACAGCGATCAATTGTGGAGTAGTCGTCGCACCCTCGCTGTCACTTTAGCATCACACCAACAAACTCAACCGGGCGTGAGGCAAGATTGGGATCACCATGGTATCGAGAACAGAGATGTGCTGAAGCAAGTTGATTACATGCACTGCATGTGTGCAAAGGTTATATATACAAAGAATCCTCAAAAGTTCCAAAATTCACATCCACCACCCAGTCATCTCCAATGACTTCCCCACTCTCACCCGACTAAAGTGCCGAGCGAGTCGAATCACCCGTCTAGCAAGACTTGACAGCAGAAGCAGTGTACTTGCAGTTGCCGGAGGGGCCCTTGGAGACGGACTTGGGCTCAGAGCCGGGCTTGGTGCCCTTGAACTCCTCGCAGATGGTCTTGACGGAGGTAGCGCAGGTGCCGGAGATGGTAGCGGTACCGCCGAAGTTGGGGTTGATACCGGCAAGGACCTTTCCGTTGTAGGCCTTGACGTTCTTGATGACGACGGAGCGGGCGACGCTGTTCTTGCAGTTACCGCAGGCACGGTAGAGCTTGCCGAAGTTCATAACGGCTGGGGGCTGTTAGTGGTGTTCAGAGGAGTGTAGTGTCGGGGGACTTACTGAAGCCGTCAATGGTGACCGTGCCCTTTCCGTTGTGCTGGATGACCTTGTCATCAGCGGCCTGGGCACCTCCGCCCTTGATCATGGCGTTTCCGTCACCCTTGAGGGAAAGCGCATCCTCGCAAACGTCGACCCACCAGACGTTCTCGATGGTGCAGGATCCTGGTTCAGATTAGTATCTATGACTCGTTGTTTGTACGGAAGGATGCTCACCCTCGCAGTGGACACCCTCGATCTGGTCCTTTCCGATGATAGCGTTCTTGAGAGTTCCGCCGTTCTTGATGAGGAAGACAGCGTCCTTGTCACCGCCCTCGACCTGGCCAGTGCAGCTAGCACCACGGCCGTAGGTCTTCATGCCACCATCAAAGGTTCCGCTGACTTGCTGGGGAGCCTTGTAGGTGACGGAGCCCTTGGAGGCGGGGATCGGGAGGGAGGCGCGCTTGGCGAAGGAGGAGAACTCGCTAGGAGTAACGGCGGCAGGGCCGGCGGCGGCGAAGCCAGTGATGGCAGCAACGATGGCGATGGAGAACTTCATGTTGACGGTTGAGTTGGTTGATCGAAACTGGAAAGTCGAAGAGGATGCTTTGAACAAAGTATGTATAAAGAATGTAAGTCTCTGAAAGAGGTAGCGAAAGTGGATGCTTCAAGCAAGAATAGACTGAATGAATGTGATGGTGGTGGTGATTCCTTTTTGCCGGTGGTCGCTGTGATACTTATACTCCCCCTCAACTCGTCTTCTGGGTGCCACACTGAGGCACTCCACATTCGTCCGAAGATGTGCCATGTGGAAGACAGGGTACTGTTCCTCTCCGGCGGTACTCATGAGCCCAGGCCCAGAGTGTCATGCGAATGTGAGTAGGATGGCCCAGAAGAAGACGCTCGCAGGGTTCCGAGGACGTCAGGGCCGTGCTCTGGTGGGGCTTGGAGGTCGGAAACACGCTCATGGCGGGATATCTCGATAGCACCCATGCCAGGCTCATTTGTACTGTGGAGTTGGTAGAGAGTGAATTATCCAGTAAGCACCGTCTTGTCTTCCAGACTCAACTCTCATCATCATCAGCGCGAGAAGACATCAGTTTGCATCTCAGAAAGACAAGTTCTGGGAGACGACTTGAGAGACATCGTGTTCTGGAACGCCACACGAACGCACACGACAATGGATTTACCACCAAAAGCCAGGAAGTCGTTACATGTCCGATCGACTAGTGCTGGATCCAGCCTGTCACACCGACGCCAACGCTCGCCAAAATGCCAAGCTTTGACATGAAACCGCTCAAATATCCACATCGTAACCACCTATCTGGAACGCCAAGGAGAACTGAAATTTCCGCTCGTTGTTCGAAAACGTCTGGCCAGTCAAGCATTTCTCCGGGAACATCATTGGGGTCCTGCCAAGACACATTTGCGATTCGTGTCACGGGGCGAGCCTTGCGCTAGAATCTGGCTAGAGTGTGAGATAGTTTCAATGACTTTCTTTTCGATATCTCCGCCAATCGCGACGCTTCCTGGAGGGCGTAAAACACCAGCTCGGGGCGTCTTGGCACGTCATGTCGCGCAAACAGGTGTCGTGCATGACGCCCAGGTGCCATTCCTAGGTGTACCTCTGTTCACCACGCTGATTAGGATTCCGCGTGTTCAAGAGTCGCTGACAGGACTTGCTTGCCAGGTTGATGCAGCCGGCTGACGCCAACCGCCCTGGAGGTTACTAAGGTAGCTGCGTCGCGACTCGAGACGACGTCCAAGGCTGGTCGTCAAACCACGCTCAGCCCATCCACGGAATACACATGTTGTTGTAGTTAGTAGTACTGTGTCATGGCACCTCGATTACTGATCGACGTAGAGTCGTGGAGTCGTGGGTACTGCGCGTGTCGTGCCGTGTTTCGCTGGTCGCGATCGGGTAGTCGTCTTCCGATTGCACGACTGCTATTTTCAATCCGGCGTCGACACGACCCTTGTTCGGTCCTTTGCGATCTCTAGATCTTTGTAGCTATGCTTGGAAAATGCGAATTCGTGATGTCCAAGACGGAGTAATATCGAAAGTAAGAATGTACTGCCCAGGTTTCACGTAGGGCCGCAGCAGCGGACCGGACAAGTGTGGCGTAACGATGTGGCTCAGGGATGTGGCGCGGGGTTTGCGCGTCTCCACTTCCTCCCGATTGCGAAAGTCCCCGACACGGCACAAGCAACGATAATAGCCCGGTCCAGAATCATCCCCTTCAAATCCTTGGCCGTACTGCAAGAACATGCATCTACCCAGATAGCTACGATTGTACACGTCGTCATGGAGGAAGCAATGCACAACTCGTCTTGACCGCTGCGATGATGCCCAAGCGCAGATTGGACACGAAAATTTTGCGAGACTGAAACAGTGTGGAAAGATCTTCAATCGCACTTTTAAGAACACCAAAGTCATTTCACGCCCCTAAGATCCGAGTTCGTCGGTGCCGCAGCAGCCAATCGCATGGTGGCGTATCTTCCGAAATGGATCGCTCATCTAGGCTGCTGGTATCCGCCCGCATAAGAACGTGTCCAGCTAACCCGCGTGGGTTTTCGTATTGTTCTAGATCGATTGGAAGCTAGCGGTGAGCTTATCAATTCCAGGCCAGACCCTCTTCCGATGCAATCGGCAGAGAGACTGTCCCTATCTTCGTAGATCAAGAGGAGCTCCGATCGGTAGCTATGCCCTAGAGAAAGACGTATTCAGTTCAATTTCACCGTGCATCTTGTGCTTGGGATGAAGACTTGTCTCGACGATAGAGTAACACCGACGGGTCACATAGTTGACTCCTATCACATATCCCCAACATCGTACCTCCCGAACTTGTCGCACTTCGCTGTCCTAACCTTCCACCCCTTCTCCGTAAGCCCCTTTACAAACCTTTCCTGCTTCTCATCCGCCGTGATCAAATCTCCTATCGCCGTCTTCACCCCACTCAGCTTGACCAACTCCACTTTCAACCCTTCCCCAACAACCTCCCTTGACCGCTCAATCTGTCCAGCACAATCCTTCATCACCTCCTCATCAACAACGTCCATATCACACCACCTTGGTAGCACAAGTCTCAGCACCTCCAAATTCATACACTTCCCCAACGCGACACAAACATCCTTAACACTACTCTCATAAGTCCATCCCTCGGGAACGTTGAAGGGAATCTGCTTCGCCAGTCTGACAGCCGCGCGCTTACTTACTGCCGGCCTAATCATCCCCCATCGCTGTTGCGCCCGCCCTTGGGCCGTGTGTCGAACGGGTAACGGCAATGTGATACACTTGATGTACTGCCACGCATACTTTTCTCTTGAAGTGAACATGAACGCACTCGTGAACATCCACGCGCTTGCGACCATCCACCCGTTCATCCCGCTGAAACGCCACTCGTTCTCTCTGTAGAAGTAAAACGTAGCTTCATGTCTTACCTGCCTACTTACTCTCAGTAGGTTCAAATTCACGCCGAGCTGCCGCATCTTGGCTTTGAGGTACTGCATGTTGCGGTTTGCGGTCACAATTTGGTGCGAGGCGATGTGGTTGTCGGTTTCGGGCCAGAGTTCGATGGGGAAGGGAAAGGTGAGCGCGGAGGCATAGATCATGCAGCGGAGTTCGGCGGGGAGCTTCATGAGCCGGAATGGCTGGCTAGGCTGGCTGGAGGGAGGGGATGGATGCGGATATCTTCGCTCGGCGTAGAGTTTGGGGTAGCGAGTGTAACGGCGGAGTTGGCAAGTCGTGTAAGGAGGTGGTAGCGTGTTTTTCGCAGACATCATCTCGATCGGAATCATTGTATGAGGGTGAGATGCTCGCGAACGTTGGCGTAGTATAAAGCGAAGGATGTAGGGAGAGGATAGGAAACTTCAATAGGTATACGCGCTGGATCACAATGACACTTTGCGTTTTACATGGCGCATGAGACGTTCAGATGATCATTTAACATTGTTTGACCGCTACCGCATACATCAAACTATTTAACCTGGATGCCTATTCTCGTGTCTTCCACCACAATAACATCAGTCCCAGTACTCACCGGTTATATCAGCTCCGTATAGGAAGCACGCGAGCTTTGTAATCACTCCGCGCAAAGAAGGGTGGTGGGGCGCGCTCAAATCGTACCGGAACTTCTCAACGATGTTGCCGAAAGGGTCATCATCTTGGTAGGCGATAGTGGGTACGTAAGCCGCTATATCCACCTCTTCCTGTTCGATGAAATGGCCGATCCAGTCTTCGATGTCCTCTTCCATTTCTTCAAGGTCCTCGTCCGCCCTCTCGTACTTGATTGTAAACTTACTACCGTCATCCCGCTCATACTCGATGTCTCTGATGATACATTTGCCGTCCATGATAACGTCGGGACAGGCTTCGTTACCGCGATCTGGGTGTGAGTGCAGTACGTCGGCGAGAAAGACAAACATCTGCCGTTGAAGTCTGTACAGCATTCCCGTCTTGGCTTGCAGGGGCAGGCCGCCATTAAACTGCTCAACCCACAGCCGTGAGTTCACAGGGAGTTCGAGTGTTGCCATGATAATGTTGGTGATCGAGATCCGGAGACATGAAAAGTTCTCTCGCTCCGGCAGCTCAAAGCGCATCTTCAGAGTGGGTGGAATTTCAGGGCGCTCATCCCACTTATCAGGGAAGAATAGTCCACTAGCCGCACACCAAGCCTGCATCGATGCGAAATCATCAAACGAAGCCTGCGCGCTACGTGACGTCATCTTTCCAATGACATGTATGTGCTGCCACTGTTTGAGGGCAATTCTTCGGAACTGGCGATTCATCGAAAATAGCTCGGGTAGGCGGCGTGAGATTGTTCGGCTCTCAATGTTGTATGTAAGACAATGATGGTCGTTTGACTCCATAAGCATACCAAGGAGGTTCTGCTTGATCGAGGTCGAGTAAAGGAGGTTCGCAAGACGGAGCCTCCGGTTAGGGAGGAATTGCATCCTTTTAAGTTGTCCGTTGCTGTCCACATCGTATGGAATGATTGGAAGGGCGGCATCATCGGGACGTTGATGGCTAGACCTTCTCAGGATGAACGTGGCTTGTAGACCGTCGGGTGTGGCCTGAATGCTGTGAAGCGACCGGGGTGCTCGTAGATAGGGGCTCATTTCCGGACTACGCTGAGGCGTCAACAGTGTGATCATCGCATTGAGATTGGACTCGTTGATGGGGTATGGGGTTGGAATGCCCCAGTGAGTATGCGAACGAAGGTGTCGTCCCGAAAACGCGAACGACACCTCAATCTTGGCGCGCTGTCGGTTGCCTTGGCTTGTGAGTATATCCTGATATCGCCAGATCATCATCATGATAGGTTTCAGGTCGATCCTATCATTGGCAGGCTGGCATAGTCCCGGGCAAAGAGGCTCGAGATCGATGACGACTTTGCGCACGTAATCGAGGTTGGAACCAAGACTTGCCATCCACATGCTCAGGAGTCCCAGGGTCGAAGCGTCGGTGAAAGCGTCCATCTGCGTAGAGAGCATGAAGGTGTTGTCCGAGAAAAGTATACTTCTGGCTTCGTGGTAAAACTGGCGGCAGGTACTAAGCAATTCGATGTCTGGAATCGCGCGAACCATGATCGGCCCCGGTACGACGGTTGATGGTACCAGTAAGATGTGGCCCTCCTGCTTGAAGACGTTCCGATGAATCTTGTTGCGGAGCTCTCCGGGAAGTTGAAGCAAAGGCGAGCCCGGCTGTGGGAGGAAGGGAATCGACATGGCTGACAGAAGCTCCTCGTCGACGAGGTCGAGTCTGGTGCAAAGTGACTGCGGAAGGCGTGCAGTCTGGACGCTCAAGATATCCTGGGGCTCGAAGAAAGGAGGGGTATAAATGCATCGTGCGGCGGCAGAACATTTGCCCGCAGTGGGCGGTACGGTACGCACGAGCGCGTTTGTGAAGTATTCATTGTCCCGCTGATACTTGTAGCGTAAACGAAGCCGTAGCCCGACCGGTAGAAGCCGATGTGTACGCCGGAGGACCACTATTCCCGTTCTCCGCCTTGCACAGACTGTTTGCGACGTTGCTCGAGCCTTTGCTAATACTCGGTAGTACTGCAGAACCCGTGGAGTTGACCGAGTCTTGCTACACCCGGGTCGTCGCTAACAGCGTCTACAGACTTTGCCGTACCGAAGACTCGAGAACCAGCCTCGTCTGACCCCACATCTCAATCGTCAACGAACGACTTCTACGGCGACTCGTCCGTCTCCTCGACAACCTTGCTGTATAAATGCTGATGCGAAACATATGTTTCTGTCCCATCGGGCGGTAGGTACTCCGGACAGATACCAAACGCAATCGCGCCTTTTTGGTCGAGATACCGCTTGAGGCGCAGGGCCTGGCCCAAGACGCGGGCTTGTTTGATGCCGAACTCGTGCTCGATGCGCGACATGTACTTTTGGACAAAGTCTTGGCTTTCAGGTGAGGCCATGGGCATGGCGGCGGCCTAAAACATTGGTTGTTAGTAGCAAGAACGCATGCTGACGATGAATAGACGTACCACGTAAAGCGCCCATACAGTACTGTATCCTCCCGCGACGCGTACGATAGGAAGCCGGTCCTTCACAGATCCGTTCCCCAGAAGAGCTTTGACGAGCCCGTATGTGTTACCTCGGAAGTTGCCATCAAGAGATTTGAGGGCTATACGGTATGGGCTTGCTGGCGCAGCGGATGCCGTCCATGGTGCGCCTCGTCCTGACGTGCGCGGTTCGTCGTAATCGTCATCGGGTGGGGTCGTCGCTCTGCTCGGCGCAGAATCGGGAACATCATGCATGAACTGGGGCATGCTTGCTATGATATCGGACTGCAACTGGTACAACATGCGAGCGCTTTTTGCTAGCTGCTCGTGGTATCTGCTGCCAGCAAGGGTCGGTGGGCTAGTTGCGAACCCTGCCAGGATGCAGTTCCGGATAATGTCGTGGAAGTAGATTCTGTTGTAGCGCACCCAGTTCCAAGTCTGAGCTGCTGTCGCGGTCGGGTAGACGTGGTAGTAGTTTTCAAAGATACGTTCACTCTTCTCGCAATGCACGACGTCGTAGTCCCAGTCTGCCCCTTGATCCTTGAAGATGTTGACAGCGATGTCTTCAAGTTCGAGTGCTGATTCTATAATTTCCGACAGCGCGAACGCGGACTGATTGAGGATGCGAGCTCGTAGGTCGATGGTCTTGATGTGGAGGAAGAAGAATCGGTTTCTGGGGTCGTGTGTATCCAAATGCTTCATGACTTCGCTGTTCAGATCGTGAACATATTGAGGAAGGGGAATGCCCTTTCCCATGCAGTTCATAGTGAGTAGGCCAACAGTGTGGAGGTACATGCGTTGTCCTGCGGGAGTGGAGAATTGCTCCATGCCTCTGAGTCTGATGAGAGATGCAGCACCATCGACGTGGTTACTCCATCCAGCGAGGGAGGTGTCGTTGAACGTTGCTTCGAACATACTGAGCAGGTTGACGGCGGTCAGAGTACTGTCCTCCTTGACAGCTTCAGGCGAAGAGATTGCCTTGTTGGCCATCTTGATAGCCTCAAGATACCAGCGTGTCGCTTCGGCTTTGAGACGAGGGTCCATGTAGAGGTTGGCTACACCGGCGATGCCCAGCGCTGTCATGGTCGTAGAGACGAGCGGATGGAAGCCATGCGTAGACAGATGTTGCTGGTACTCGATTGACTGTATGGACGGCTGGTCTACTCCTGTGCAATAGTACGACATGAAGAAGCTGATGCCTTGATCGATGAGCGACGCGGTTATGGCGGTCCCCGGACATTGTTTCGCCATGATCTGGAGATAGGCCTCGCGTACATCTCTGATATCTCGCGCATCACGTGCGGCGATGGCTTTTGCGTTCGATATCTTTGCTTTTGTCTGCACATGTTTGGTCTCGTCGTGGAAGAAGGCGTCGACGGTTCGATCGTATCCCGGGCATTTGAAGTTGCGTTCGGCACACTTGATACAGCCCTCTGGCCGTTCATCGCACTACAATCTAGTCAGCGACTCGAGTCAAGAAGTCGGACGGACAGAATTCCCGCTGCGAATGGGTGCTGTGTCTGCGGATAGCCTCTCGCACAGGATACCGCGTTGGGAAGAAGCTAGTCGCGGGTTGCGGCGCCCAACGCGAACACCGCACACTGCATGCCCTTGTCGGAAAACCAAGCCAGGTTACATGATTACATATAAGAGAGTTGGACGTACCTTGATCTTTCTCTCGCGACACTTCTTGCACCCTGTTGACGGTCTCCCGCGATACACCATGCTGGACTAGCGTTATCGCATCAAGGGTACGGTAGACGACGGTAGACGAAGCCTTCAGACGATTGCAGCTGATAGTAAAGATTAGGTAGAAGTATTAGAAGTTAGAAGTGATTTTCCCAGCGATGTACTGATGACGAAAGGATAGACGGCGACTTTTGCTCAGGTGAAATTGCGCTTGGCTGGTCACGATAGACGTCGACGCGTGTTTCTGACTGCAAACCAAGACGACCATTCCGACCGTACTGACGCATGTCGTGTTGTAACGGCCGAGCTTATGGCGGGACGTTGGCGTTCCGACGGACTCAATGACCAAGGCAACGGGTTTCTCAGCATGCAGAAGGGCGGTGATGAGACGGAACGCCTAGCGCTAGCGCGCACGTTTCCTGTCGCGCGTTACCCTGTCGAGGAAGCTGGACGATTGGCTCTTCGTCGTTCTTTCTGCATCTGGAGTTGATGCCGCCGGGTACTCGGCCGTAAACTTCAACTCGAAAATTGTGACATTGTGTCGTTGAATGGCCCAAGACATGCGAG